AGCTAACTTATCCTGTGGTCACATCCATCTGCCCAGCAGAAGACCTAATACATAGTAAGCATGGAGAAAGGGAGGGAGGGAGGAATCAAAGTTTTTTACCTTCTGCACTGGCCAGCCACTGGCCACTGAGTATAGACTGAATTTATGGGATCCCAGAGACTAAAACTTGGCTAGGAGTAGCGGGAGGCAGATTTTGATCCAACATGAGTGGATACTTTATTGACCATTCATGGGGTAGTGAGCACCCTGTCACTAGAGGAATGCAAGCAGAAACTGATGGTTGCTTGTCAGAGATGTCTGGCATGCGATTCATATCTGGATCAAGGGAGATTCTAATCACCTGGTAGAATCTTGTCTTTTTGTTTTTAGATGAAGAAACCGAGACACAGAAGGTCACACCCAAGGTCATACAGTCACGGGCATCAGTCACTTCTTGCTCAGCACAGCTTTATTTACAGAAGGGAAAAAATTGAGAATAACCTAAATGTCCAATAGTAGAAGACTGGTTAAGTAAACTATAGGACACACGATCTGCCACCCATATGATGGTTCTGAACATGGGGGAAAATCCAGAGGAAAATGCTTTTAAGGTTTCTCAAAAATGGCACAGAGGATATATTATTTGGTGAAAAAGGAAATTACAGAACAGTGTGTAAGTACGATCCCACTTTTGTAAAAAATTAGTGACACAGTATGTTAAGACATGCATAGGAAAAAAAATGGCGGCAAACCACTACCTGGTTACTTTTGCTTTAGGTATTTTCGGGAGCTAAAATTTACTAAGCACTTAGCATGCTAGGCACTGTCCTAGGCACTTTACATGTATGAACTCAGTTAACTAGCCTGTGAGATGGGACTATTAGCCTTTACTACAACAGAGGAAGCTGAGGCACAGAGAGGTTAGGTGACTCGCCCAAGTTTATGGGGCTAGTAAGTAATAGAGCTGGGATTTCAACCCAGGAAGTCTGACTTGTGCACCTGGGTGTTGAACCACTTAACTTTAGCCCAGATAACTTCTAAGTCTTCTTCCACTTCTAAAAGTCTAGGAATGTAGGATTCTAAGGCTTCTGCTATCTCAACAGTAAATAAGGGAGTAGGTGCCCTGGTCTCTAGGGATTAGCCCTCATGGTCAGCCCTGGTTCTGATTTCTGGTCCTTTTCTGGCCATCAGCACTTCTGATGAGCTGGGTTTCCTTAAAGAGGGACTCCCCTGTGAGGGGGATAAGTGAATGTGACCCCTGTTGGCATGGGTCCTGTACCAGCAGGTTGTAAACCAGGCAGCCCAGGGAAACCAAGTGTCAGGCAGATGAACACCAAAGGTTTCCAGTCGCTGCCAGCTCCTGCGCCTGGAGCCCCTGATGGTTGCGTTTACCAGCTAGCAAATTCAGTGATGATGGCAGCTGGTTCTCACAGAGGCATCCTAACCCACTGTGTGTCCTGATCCTGCCTCAGTGAGGGACGGACCGCTTGACAAGAGGGCCAAGCTTCTCAGTGAACAGAAAGGCTTTTTTTTATTAAAGGGAGGGGACCCCCACAGGTGGCCTCTCCCAGAAGACTGGTCAAAAGGGGAGTTTTCTGTCTTCCTCTCTAATTCTTGCAAAAGACCCCTGTTTTCTGATGACAGTTCCAGCTAGTGTGACTCCAGATCTTCAAGGCAGGGTCCCTAGCACAGAAAAGCACAGGCGATCGAGGCCAGAAATGTCATAAAGCAAATCAAATGTTAATTGTTGACTCTAGGTGGGAGGTGAATGGCTTTTCACTGAACATTTCTTTCAACTTTTTTGATATATGTTTGAAATTTTTCATAACAAAATGTTGGGGGGAAAATATTCTGTGTGCACCTGCCACTCCCTATGCCAAAAGCACCCCTCCACCCAGGTATCTGCATGCTCCTGCCCTCGCTGACCCAGATCCAAGCAACAGGAGACCAGGGACTTTTGACTCTTGTATCCTCAGCACCTGATGCTTAGTCCATAGTAGGTGCTCAATAAATATCTGTTGACTGACTAACAACTGCCATTTCTGGAATGCCAAGCACCGGACCCAGCATTCTGCGTACATTATTTCATCTGCTCTTCCCCTCAAGCCTGTGAGTACAGGCATCACCGCTCCCATTTTACAGATGAGAAAACTACGGCTCAGAGAGGTGATGTGAGCGCCCAAAGTCACAAAGCTAATGAACAGCAGAGTCGGAACCCAACCCACATCCATCTGACGCCATGGCTTGTGCTGTTAACTTCTTTGCAATTCTGCCTTCCATTAACTAGACAACTCACAGTCTCAATTTCCTTATGAGTCAAATAAGATGAGCTGCTCTGCTTTCCTCACAGAGTTATTATAAATGTGAGACTATGTAAGCATGCTTGGCAACCTGTGTTTCGGAAATGAAGGTGAGCAAGTGGTACCATGACTGTGGCCTCCTGTTCTGAGTGACCAGGCTTCCCCCGCGTGTGATGAATCAAGTCAGAGAGACTGCAGCTTTCACGTGTAATCATGCGTTTTCTGTAAAAAGCAGGACTCTGTGAGAATACTCACCAGGCCCTCCTCACCTGAGCCAAGTATTGTAAAACTCAGTCATGAGCAGCGACCAAGGAGGTAGGCAGGCCCTCCATCTCCTCTCTGGAAGCTTGTCCGCACCAAGGGTTTGATCCTGCTCTGGGCATGCCTGGTTAAAGTGTGGCTAAGTCAATAATTTATTCATTTAACAAACATGAGCTTTGGAGTCAGGCAACATGGGTTCAAATCCTAACTCTGCAAATTATTAGCTGTGTGACCTTCGGTAAGAGTACCAATATCTCTGAGTCTGTTTCTTTACCTGTAAGGTGGAGAAAATCAGGGTCGATCTCACAGGGTGGTTGTGAAGATTAAATGAGGTAATGCACATAAAGTGTCACATGTGTAGAAAACACTCCATAAATGTTAGCATTATTATTATGGCACAAGCTTGGCATGTTTACCATAGGAAACTTCAAAAATGCAAAGGTGCATAAAGCTTCCATAAAGCACCCACGATTTCATCATCTCCCCAAACCAGCTCTACTTCTTTGTGCATATATCCTTTCAGATTTTTTTCTATTCATGTGAATTTATGCCTTTTTTCTTCCCCTACGACAAAAGGGATTATATAGCAAATGTTTAGTAACTTGTTTTTTTCATGAACAGAATATCATAAGTGGTTTCCAAGCCAGGAAAAAAATCTTTCTATAACACTATCATGGTGGATAAGAGCCCAGGCTCTGCCACCAGACTGCCTAGGTTTGAATCCTAGCTCTATCACTTACTGTGTGACCTTAGGCAAATGACTTAACTTCTCTGTGCCACAGTTTTCTTTTCTTTTTTTTTTTAAAATAAATTTATTTATTTATTTATTTTTGGCTGTGTTGGGTCTTCGTTGCTGTGCGTGGGCTTTCTCTAGTTGCGGCGAGCGGGGGCCACTCCTCGTTGCGGTGTGTGGGCTTCTCATTGTCGTGGCTTCTCTTGTTGCGCAGCACGGGCTCTAGGCGCACAGGCTTCAGTAGCTGTGGCACGTGGGCTCAGTAGTTGTGGCTTGCGGGCTCTAGAGCTCAGGCTCAGTAGTTGTGTGTGTCACAGTTTTCTCACCTGTAATGTGGCACCAGTAGTAATCTCTTTGTCATAGGACTGTTGTGAGGATTAGATCAAAATGCATATGATACTTAGAGGAGTGCCTGCACATAGTAAGTGCTGTGTGTCGTCATTCTCCATGGCACACCGATTTCCACAGTAAGGATGTGTGATCATTTGTTTGACCAGCTCCCTTTGTGGGATAGCTGGGCTATTTCTAAACTGTTTCTGTTCTAAACATACTATGAACATCATTCATTAACAGGGCTCTCTGGGGGATACAGACACACGTATAGGAGGTGGCCATCCAATGTCTGGATTTTTCTGTGACTCACGTGGGACAGGAACAAAGCTCAAGGGAGCTGGGCCAGCCGTGCCTGGCGGGTTTGAGGGGATTGAAGCTGCTGAAAGAGGTGGGTATGCAATTTCCTCATATGTGAAATAGGGTGTGATGATCTCTCTCCAGGCTATTCTGAGCTATTTTGAGCTCAGTTGAAGCTCACATGCCAATCCCAACCCCTTGGCCATCAGAAAGTCCCAGGAGAAGAGGAGGAACAGCCCTGAATTCCTGTCTGGCCCTTGGTCTTTTGAATGAGAGCAAATGATTTCCTCTTCCCTGTCTTACTCATCTGTAAAATGGCCACTGCTGATCTCCCCTGCTTCCTGATTGGTGGTGGCAGTGTGGGGAACTGGGGAGCTCTGTGTCAGGCCTCATCTCAGCCCAGTTCTGTGCCCTTAGGATCCCAAAGGGTCCTTTCAGGTTGCAGAGGTGAAAGGCTGGAACTTGGCTAGAGCCAGAGGGGCTTGGGCTATGGTCGGTCAGGAAAATACAGGGTCCAGCTGGGACAGGAGGTGTGAGAGGAAGGGAATGGAGAAGGGCAGACTTACTGTGGCCCGTCCTAGGGCTCTTGACAAGGAGGCCTTTCCCATCACCCCACTCCAGCCAATCATTAGATCAACAATCCTTACCATCAAGAGCCATGTACAGGCACCAGAGCATCAAGGCTTCATATTGCTCAAGCCAAATTCCTTTACCATACCAACTGCATGACCTTGTTTTCTCTGAGCTTCAGTTTTCTCATCCGTAAAATGGAGCTAACATGTTCTGCTTCTAAACATAGGGCTTGAAGTGTCTCCAGAGTTGACCTTGGCACAGGGTGGGCGGGTGACTCAACTCTGGACACCAGTGAGTTGACATTTGAATTGGGACTGGAACCCAGACCTCCAGATTGCATCATCTTGGGCCAACCCTGGGATTCTCTCTGCCCTTCTTCTGCTCTCAGATAGTCTGTTGCCCAATAGTAACTCCCAGCCACATACTCCAGTAACACCCAGCCACTCCACACTTCTCCACATGGAATGCCCTTGTCAGGAACCTATTTGATGGCAGGCTAGACAGACACTTCTCCACATGGAATGCCCTTGTCAGGAACCTATTTGATGGCAGGCTAGACAGTGAGCTCCAGAAAGCTGGCATGTGTCCCCAGTGCCTCTCTAATCTTTTCTCTGGATTATTCACCTACCCATTCCGCAGTGTGCCGTGGCACTGTCCTAGATGACAGGGACCCAGTGAGGAGTGGAAAAGACCACAGATACGGCCCCTAACCTCACAGAGTTGACTGTCTTAGTCCCTGGCCCAGGTAATCTGGAAACTTGCCGTCATGGAGAGGAGGGCTATTCAGGTTGACGAACCCCATGGAGTCTGGAGCCATGACCTCACCATGTACCTATGCCTTTCAGCCTCCAGTCATATTGATTTAGGTTCTGCCTGTATCCTTCTCCATGAACCAACCTGCCCTGGCAACTGAAGTCTTTTTCTGTAGTTCCAAGCAGAGCATTTCACAATGACGGACAGCCTTGGTGAAACTTTGAGCTCACAGAGTATGTTATCCTTGGCTGCCCGGTGACACTTTATCAACGTGCTGGAGTAGAGGTGAAGGAAGAAAACCAAGTATACTGTTAACAGAAATGACTTGCTCTTACCTACTGCATGCCTGGCCCTGAGAGTTCATCATCTGGTAAGCCTTCAAACAAACCTGTGTGAAAACAGAGGCTCTGAGACATTCAGTAACTTGCCCAAGCTAGTAAGTGGCCAAGCTGGAATTTCAATCCTGGTCTGAAAAAGCAGGTATTCTTGCCATTTTTCTAAACTGCATCTGTACAGGGTATGAATCCCATCCCCAAGAAGCTTTTCATCTAGGTGGATGGACAAGCCTCACCCAAGAAACCACAAGTTAGGAACAATACTGACAGAGATGCTCTCTGTAGAAGTAAAGGCAGGAATGAGGGAAGATAAGGTTGTACTAGTGGGTTTGAGGACAGTGAATAGATAAGGCTTGCTTGCCTGAGGAGGCCTGGAAAATAGGGGTGGGTCCCCATTGTGACCATCTTTGGATGCCATAATAGAGAGAATGGGTTTTCTCTTTCAGGCACTGGGTGATCCTTGAAGATTTGCAACAGTATAAAAGAGCAGCAGTTGAGGATGATGCATTTGGTGTAAATTACAAGTTCCTTCTTGGGGCGGGTTTTTATTTCAGGGGGTGATCACAGGGCAGGGAGAGGTCCACGCATCCCAGGACAAAACAAGACGGCATCTGCTTCCTGTAAGTATTTAAAATGTGCTGTAAGACCATCTAACTGTCCCACTGTTGGTGAGTGTTTAAGTTGGTACAGCCACTTGACAGGAGATTTTGCATTCATCAGAAATATTTAGGAAGGGTGCATTAATTATAGCATGTAAAAATGCTTATGTTAGCTAAAGAACAGAATACAAAATTGAATATTTAATATGATCACTATTCTGCTTAATAATAAAAGCAACAGTAATAGTAATAATATATCATCCATGGGGGAAAACTGGAAAGAAAGGGGAATATATAGAATGCTAACAGTAGTTGTGTTAAGGTGATGAGACCCATGGGTGTTCCCCCCAACCCAGCAACTGTGCTACATTTCCCCAGTTTTCTTTAATGACATGCATTCCTCTTTTCGACATACATTCACCTTTTTCTTTCTCTTAAAAAATTTTTTTGTTGTCTTTTCTAATTGTTATTTTGCCATACCTACGTTGCAGGGGTAAATGAACAAATAGATGCAGAGCACCTAGCACGGTTCTTGGCACAAAATCGGGGCTCTAGGAATGTTACGTGAGAACGGTCGCTGGCCCGGCATCCCCGCATCTCCAGACCTCTGCCCGGCGGCAGAGACGCTCCCGAAGCCGACGCTCGCCGGGTGCAGCAGGCGCGGTGCCCGCAAAACCCGCCGCCCAGCCCGCCCTGCGTACGTGGAGCCCGGGCCGCACCGCCCCACACACCCCCTGCAACCTCGCGCGACGTCGCGCTCACCCACGGCCCCGCCCCCTGTGACACCACCTCCAGGAGGCAGGACTGCAGCGGCCCCGCCCGCGCCTCCTCCGATAGGCCGCCGCGCTGTCACCACGTCGCGCGCGCGCGTGTGTGTGTGTGTGTGTGTGTGTGTGTGTGTGTGTGTGTGTGTGTGTTGTGTGGTTTGCTTTGTCATTGGCCGGGCACTCCAGGCTCCGCAGAAAACGCCCCCGGCGCGCTGTCCCCGGCGCCTCCGGGATGAGAAGGGTGCTGTGAGCCCCTTACATAATGATGCGACTGACTGGAGCACAGTTCAGCCCAGATACGCACGTGCCGCAAACCCAGGCCTCGCGATTTCATAGGGTGCTAGTGATAGCCTACAATGAAAACAGCACCGTATGCTCTAATGTGGATTATAATACAATGAAATGCAATCCAATAATAATGAAATGTATCTTCGCAACAGGGCATAATATAGGATGTTATATTTATAGGGCCTATTTATAAGCCTCTATTTAAGTCTTTTCTGATAGGCTCGGACTCGGGCCCAGACACCGTAATGATTGGGGCACACTTCTGTCCTTCAAAGAGGCGGGTTCTAGAGTCCGTTTTGCCACAGCGGGCCCTGGGATTGGCCGGCAGCGGCGCAGAGGCGCCTTCGATTGGTCCTGAAGGCCGTCCGTCGGAGCGGAGGAGGCGGGGCAGGCGGCTGGCTGGTGCTGGGGCGGGCGGGCCCCGGAATTGTCATTTCTTTGTTTCCGAAGGCGGAGGAAGCGCTGTGCCCACACCTCCTCGTCCCACCCCCTCCCCCCGGGTGCTGGCTCCATGTCTGTGTGACCGGCCCCAGGGGTAGAGTCCAGGCCCGACGCGGGGCGGGCCGGCGGCGGCGGCGGCTGAGGTGAGAGGCGGCGGCGGCGCGGGCACCCGGCCCCCCAGCGGGAGGATGAAGCGGCGGAACACCGAGTGCAGTAAGCTCCGCCGCCCCCTAAAGCGGAACCGGATCACCGAGGGCATCTACGGCAGGTGAGCGGCGGCGCCCCCGCCTCCGCCGGCGCGGGCCCTGCGGCCCCCGGCCGTCTCTGGAGGGGCCGAGCCCCGTTATGTAACCCCGACTAGGCCTCACGCCCTTGCCGGGGGCTCCCCGGAGGAGCGCTGCCCATGGGGCCCCGGGCGGCCCGCCGGGGTCCGCCCCGAGGGCGCGGGGCGTGGCGAGGGCCGACGGCCCGGCTGGGAGGGCGCGGCGGGCGCGAGCCGCCGTTGGGACTGTCCCCAACGGCGGTGACCCCCTCCCCATCCGCGCCGCCGGGCCCTCGGGGCTGCTCTAGGGGCTGAAGGGCCTCCGCTGGTCCCCCAGCCCGCTCCGGCCCGGGAGTCGCCGGCCTGAGTCGGGAGGCGCGTGGACCATATGCACTGGTGCGGGGGAAGGCTGACAAAGTTGGGAGCAGACAGTGGCCCCGCGGTCCCTCTGCGGACTGGGCAGGTGGCCACGTTGCCCCCTTTCGCCTTTTACTTCTTTTATGGAATCTCAAACTTGGCACCGAGGGCTGAAGCCGATACCCCCAAATCAAGGCCTGTGGCCCCGCTCCAGACTCAGAAGGAGTGATGATCATTTTCTCAGCAGCATTATTTTGACAATTCCAAGCAGATAGTTTTATTCGATCCCTTTAAAAAGGATTTTCTTCAAACTCGCGTGGTTTGTTGTTGTTGTTTTTAGTTTGTTTTAATTCTCCAAAAACAAAGCAGTGTCCCTTTAAATAGAAATTGAATTCAGGACTGAGGGGTAGAAGGACAACAGGTTCATGGGGCAACTTAGTGAGAATCCCAGCTTCCCTAAGCAAAATTTGTGTAGGACTGTTATTTTCTGGTTCTCACAATGTTAATTCTGAATGGTACCTGCCTTGATAAAGAAATGATTTCAGAGGAGAAGTAATTAGTTTACAAAGGAGAATTCTCAGGATGTGCATATAAGCTTGATTGGTGTTTTACAGTTTAGCTCTTCTAGCTGTGGGACTTAGAGAAATATGTGAGGTAGCTGATAACACCCAAGTTGCCTTAGCATAGCTGTACACCTTGCACATGCTCCTGTTTACACATTTAAAATGATTCCTTTCCACAAGCAGCTGACCGATGTAAACATTGGGTGTTTTTTTAAATTTCAAGCTTAAAAGGGTTAAGAAGTCAGTTGAAATAAAAAGTTTTTAGCTATATCCTTATGTAATGAGCCGCAGATCATAGGAAGAGTTCATTCATTAGACAAATACATGTACTATGTGCCAGGCCCTGTTCTAGCTAGTAAGGGTGCAGCAGTGAGTAAAACAGGCCAAAATCCATGCTGAATCAATCAAACCTGCCCATTTAAACTAAAACTGTAAAAGCAAAAACCATTTTTCCTACAGATTTAATGGGTGGGGGAAAGTTCTCTTCAAGTTACACAGACTATAATTCTTGAATAAAGGAAGGGTTTTCCCCCCTGCCTATTGAAAAAGATTTGAACAATTTAATATTAATAGTGACACAAGAATAGAAAAAGCGTATTAAACAGAGTTGGTAAAGCAAGGACAACCGTGCCATTTGAATGGCTGCTATTTACAGTAACATATGATGATGTACTTCTGTTTTTAGTGAGAAGATTGGGAATCCCATATTGTTTACATGTTTTCTGTTGTATTTCAACTTCTCTGGTATTTGAACAAATATGCCCAGTTTAGTACCTGCCCCATAGTAACCACTCAGTCAGTGTGCATCAATGTGAAGAAGTGAATTTATTGTCTAATTAAGGTCTATTATTTTACTGATGAACTTTTGGAATTTGAATTTTCTTACCCTAAAGGTTAATAGTAAATGCTCTATGCAAGTTATTCAGAGTTTCATCTGTAAAAGTTTAAAAAACCAACAGTACTTCAGCTCTCAAATATCCTTACTCTTCTCTATTTCACATTCTTTAGGTTAAACGTTAATAAAAAACTTACATATATTTCTACATTCTTTTCTCTTGGAGCATCATATATCAAATGAATGTTTCAATTCACTTATCTGTTTCTTAGTGTATATTATGGAGTATTATATTATGGAATATTATTGTCTGAAGAACAAGACCATAGTGTTGGGGTTTTTTTTTTTTTTACAATTTTGTTTTTAAAAAGATTTAGAAAATTTCCAGTTATTTCTAAAGCAGACAGAATGAGTGGGCTACTTACAAATTAGGTGTTTGAGGATTTGTGAGTATCAAATTTCTGTTAATCATCACATTTAAGTCTACACTAAATTGTTTTTCACACCATTGCCCATTTTGTTTCTCAGTGTCTGGCCAATTTTTATCTCATTAAATAGAGAGCTTTGTTTTTTTCTCAGGCTCCGTTGACAGTTTTGATAACCACTATCTACTGTTTCACAGCATAACTTTTCATGGACTTATTATTTTCATGTTCTCAGTCTGCACAGCTCTCTGAGCTTGGCGTAGCAAGGAGGCAGCTGTGGTGAAGAGAGCACTAGACTGGGAGTGTCAGGAGACCTAGGTTCAGACTCAGTGTCCCAGCTCTGCTGTGTGGGATGGGCAGGGCATCCACCGCTTTGAGCCCCAGTTCTCTCACCTGTCAAGTGAGTTTTGAGGACTGAGAGGAAATAACGTACAGTTTGTGAAACTCTGTAAATTCTAGCATGCTTAATACAAACATTATTTAGCATGTAGTTATCGCAGTTTACCATATTTGTTTTATTTTTAAGGAGTCAGGAAAGACCATAAGGTTTGGTACAACTATCAAACAAAAGTTGAGTAGTCAAAACAAGGGGTCAGTTTCTGCTTGGTCTTGCTGGAAAAAAATCCTGTTGCTGAGATGCTTTTAATCATGGGCTCCAATCCAGCAACTGTGACTGAGGTGATTGTCAAATGATATCATTATTGTCATTATAATGGCTGTGGTAGAATTCTGTTTCAGGGGTAAGGTAGATGGAAAATGGATTTTAACATTATGTTAGTATTACCTACATTTATATATATGCCCATCATTTGAAAACTGAAATGTATAGAAATATGTTATTCCGGTCAAGTTAGTAATCAAAAATAAGAGAAAGGAAATAGGAATGGTGATTATTTTCTTTTATATTATTATGAGCTAAAATCAATGTCATTTTCAAAAAATCTGAGCCAGTATAGAGCCTGACAGAGAATAGGAATTCAGTCCTCAGTAAATGTTGAGCAAGTGAATTAGTAAATAAATGAATATAAACCAATCCATTCTATTCATTTAAGAACCTGCGTTGTTTTGGTAATTATGGAGGTTACAGGATAAGACATGGTTCCTTGTCTTCCAGGAGTTTACAGTCTAGGAGGCCGTAATAATGCCCTCTTAAATTTGTACAGTGGTTTTGAGGTTCCAAAGAACTTTGAGTTCTGTTCAAGTAAGAATATTTTAGTTGAATTAAATTTTCGCTTGCTGTTTTAGTGGTTCACCTGATGCATTAACAATTTTGCCCTGTACTATTTTATGATGCAGTACACAGTTGCCACTATGTGAGGGAATATGTATTTTCTAACTCAAATGAAATAGATGTGAAAGTACTTTGGAAATTATGAAAAAAAGTTATTAATAAGAGAAAGTAAAATGAATAACTCTACATAACTATAACATTTCAGAGGTCCTCGGGTTTTAGGGCAGTGACTCTCTCCCTGTGTCTGCCTTCACACATGCACCAGACGCTCCCAAAAGTAATATCTAATTACTCCATGCAGTGATTCTCCAGGTGGAGTGGGGTTGGAGTGCTATGTAGATTTTAAAAGGCTTAAGGGAATTCCGGGTGGTTCATTCACCTTTCATCTTGCCAGGCTCCCTACTCCTCTCTGAGAATTAATGATTTTATAATAGGAAGATGAGGAGATAAGGTGTGGTGAGTAGAAGACAGAGGCAGAAACATTTATGTTTAAAGTCTCTGCAGTTAAAATTGTTCCTTACCCAAGTAAGTAATATAAGAATTTTAAGTAAGGCAGGTGTTTTAAGCTTCAGGAAATTATTTTATAGCTTTGTTACTGGTGGTTGAAGGAAGCATTCCTTCACTGGTGGATTTGTGGATACTTCCTGTCATGGTGTGCTGGGTTCTCCTTGTAGTATGTTGCCTGAAGCTTAAGCGGTGTAGTACTGTACCTGACTTTTACATTTTAGGACTCGAGACTTCCCTGGT